CCCATGGAGAAGCGAAAGCAAGAAATTCAGTGACTGCAAATTCCATGATTTAAAAAGCCACCAGTTGTTGCGTGGGTATCCATGTGTACACTGGAACTGCACAAACATTTTTTTCAAGATTGTTTTCATCTTCGAGCCCCCTAGGTCACCTCTGCTCTAAGCGATGTGTGGTTTGACGTTGGAGCATCAATAATCCACCGGTATGCACAGGTTCTGCAGGACAACCGTGTGCTCGGTGCATGGCTGGAGCTACGCCTGCTGTAGTTTCTTCCAGCTGGGGCTCTTAGGGTTGAGCTCTGGGCATCACAGGCATCCTCAGCGGGCAAGGCAAGTGGGGCTGTTGCTCTGCCAGTGTCATATTCCAGGGTACTTTAAGACCTCATTAGGGAGTTTTTTGGGCATTCGGAGGCACACCCAGCTTACACAGAAGCCAGGTTTATTCTACTTTACCAAAATTCGGGATTTACAATCCAGCTTTTCCTGAAAGGCAGCTTTGGTTTAGGTTTATGGTTCTGAAAATAGTCTGTTGTGCTCGCAGTTTGTTACAAAAGCCAGTGGTATGGTGGATATCCTGAACAGTTTACAGAGAGGCTTTCCAGTTTGGCTAATTGAGGAACAGGGCTGGAACAGGATTAGAAGCATTTTCTTTCTTGTTAGCACCAGGAACTTCTGAGGAATTCTTTTGAGTGATGTATGCCAATATAGCTAACAGTAATTAGATCAAGCTACAAAAGTGAAAATTTGGGTGAAATATTAGATAAAGCTTCCTGGTAATAAGATATACTGGTAATAAGATATCGCCTGTCTGTGGAAACAGTTCTGCATGCAGCTTTAGAGCTCAATTAAAATATTTCTGTATTGGCAGAGAGAAGGCCTACTCTTTTGATAATCTGATAGAGCATCTCTAATTCTTTCACCTTGGGTATATTAATACTACACATAATTAAAATCGGATCATGATAAATTAACTAATTTGCCCTTAGAGTGATCAAAGGCCCTTTTGCCCTCAGGGTTTGGAGAAGCTGCTGTTTCCCCCCCCCCTAGTGTGGTGGTGTCCCCCGTTCCCCCCCCCCCCTGCCTCCATTTTAATCATCAGTCTGAAATGTTTATCAGAAAAAGAAAAATTTCCAGGAATTACGCTCTGAAAGACACCGGCTCCTGAAGCTAGTGAAGTGTAAGGATGCCCTCTACTGAGCATGTGCTCAGAAGTTTTGTTTTGGAAACAAAATTGTCCCCTGCTGGGTACAGAAAGCATTTTCTCAGGCAGCTGGATGTCAGGTCAAAGCTGGCTCATTCGAACATGCATCATGAATTGAACCTTAAGCACAACCTGCAAGTATCTGATGGAAGAGTGGAAACTAAAGGGAATTTACTCACAGGAGTTAAAAAAACCCCAATAGCTCAAGCATCAACTTTCCAAAGAAAGGTGTAGCGCAATTCTGGAATCCAGTCACCTGAACATGATGAGAAATATATTCAGTGGTGAAGGAAAACTGATGATGAGAGGTTCTAAATGCAGGAGCAGTAAAATATATCAGTATTTCTGCTGAGAGGTTTTTAGGCCTTGTAACAATGTTCAGGAGGAACACAATAATAAGGTCATCTTAAAATATGGTGTGCACAAGTGGATTATTTTACTTACATGTGGATTGTTTTACTTACATGTAATACTTTAAAGTTTTCTTTTTGCTGTACAGTTAAGTCTGCCAAAAAGCTTGTGGAACAGTTCATGAGAAGTCAAGAAATGTGTGTATCCATTAGCAGAACTGAAGTCTTCAAGAGGAATACCATGTCGCTTGATTTGTTTCTGAAAAGATTTGGGAATTCAGAAGAACCATGAACAGCAATGGAGAGCTAATCCTGTGCTGCCAGTTTAAATCAGATCAAACTTTCCTATTTCTTTTCAGTTAAGGCCAAGTCAGGACTTCTTTTGGTCTCAGATTGTTGGAGGAGGTTCAGCACCATCTTAACTCCCTCTACAGTCTCTTCCCTTTAGCATACAGAGTTTCAGAGAGCTGCTAACGGGCCCCGTTAAACTCAGATGTGTATGCTATGAAAAGCAGCAATATCTTTGTGAGGCTAATGGTGAGGGTTTTGTCATTGAATTAACTATATAAATAATTCAGTGTGCCTGAGGAAATCTGGAAGATGACAAGCTCCGAAATATATATTAAAAAACAAAGTACTGAATTCTAATTAAAATTCATGCTTATGGCAGAGTTTTCTCTTACAGAAGGTACATTTTTTTCTAGTCCTTGTTTTAATCAACTGAGTCTAATGCAACTAAACGATTCTGTAACAATTTACTTCATATGTAATGGTACAATAGGGCTGGAGAAATGGGCTGATAGGAACCTCGTAAAGTGCAAGGTCCTTTACCTGGAGAGGAACAACCCCGGGCACAAATGTATGCTGGGAAACACTTTTTTTATCGTGAGGGTGACTGAGCACTGGGGCAGGTTGCCCAGAGAGGTTGTTGAGTCTCCATCCTTGGAGATATTCAGCAGCCTGGTCCTGGGCATGGTCCTGGGCAGTCGGCTCTAGGTGGCCTTGTTTGAGCAGAGGGGTTGGACCAGATGACCTCCAGAGGTCCCGGCCAGCCTCAGCTGTTCTGTGATAATACGTCCAGGTAGCAAATTAGGCAAACACGAACTAGAAACAAATATATTCTGACAGTAATCAATACTCTTTCATACATAGAGTCAGAGATTTCAAAGCAACAAAATAAATAATAGCAGCAATGCAACTGTGAATGCAAATGGTATAGCAATGTATAAGCCTTTGACACCAAACAGCAGTGCCCAGGTTCTGGCCACGTATGCTGAACAGATCCATACCTCAGCTCTGCTGTTGCAAGAAGCTGGATCAGCTAGTTGGCATAAGGTAAAAATATCCTAACTCCTGAATCCTGCCATCTGGGAATAAATTAGTATGGCGGAATATAGCCATATGTTATAAGTAATAGTGTTCCAAACAAGTAAATCATGTGTATATTTATGTTACGGTATATGCCTGTCTTTTCTAAATATTCTTGTAAGCATCTGAAAGTGTGCAAGTCTGAATTCACATAACTGCATAAAAACCTTCCAACATGAAAGGAATCATACACAGGTTTCTCCCTGGTATTGAATGGAGATGTTTCTAGCCTCCCAGGTCCTGAACTGGCAATTCAGAGCAGTTTGATTGCCTGCTTGATTGTTTGTGAGATAACGGTGAGATTGGCAGTGACAGGGTAATTTACTGAAGATTGCAATGTCAGACTATATCCAAGGGGGCTTGCGAGCATAAAGATGTGATTCGCATGACTGACAGGACACTGAGAGATTGATATGCCAATTCAAAGTTCATGGTGTCATCAGAAGTGTTTGGTCGCAGCATCCCATAATCTGCTGCATGATGAGGTCATTACAGACACAACGTATGCTCACCTCTAATAACAGGTAGAACAAAAATATGATGCGGCTTGAACAGGTAAATTTAAATTTGTCAAAGGGAATAATTTATATCCTGTCTTTTGCTTCTATTATTTCTAACACATCAATAGGATTCTCTTGACTGGTGGTCGTCCGAATAAAAGAACTGAGCAGACTAGACAGTGGGCACCTTTAAGTTCAGCATTGCAGAGGTGTCACAAACTGAGAAAGAGCGCAGGATGCTGAGAAAAAGTTCTCAGAGCTTAATAGGAAAACTGCCTTGAGTTGTAATCTGAAGCTAATGGTGTCCTTACAACGATTATGTAAAGTGGGTGGAAAATGGACTGTAGCAAAAAAGAAAATTCCTGCCACCACGTTGGAAAGGATTTCAAGATGAATGGAGCTCTTAATGTGAATAGGCAACTGACCTTAAAGCCAACGTATAGCTCTTGCATCAAGGTAGTTTGTCTAACTTAAATTTCCTTAGAGGGCTGAACGAAACAGTGTTAGCATACCTTGGCAGTTCTGGTTTTAAATCAGAAATAATCATTTCAGGCACAGACAATCTATTGGATATACAAGGCTAAATGTAAAATAAGAAAGCTTTTTATAGGTTTGGGTTGGTTTTTCTTTTGTTGTTTCTCCAGTTATCACTGTGTAGGGTAATGCTGGTCTCTTACGCATTTGAAAATCTTGAAAATACATGAGTCATGATCTTACTCTAAGGTACTTCTGTTGACAAACCTGCTGGAATGTTCTCTCTTGTGTATGATATTCAGTATGTGTCCAGGCTATATTTGCATTAAAAACCCAGATTAATATGCCTTGGGGAGTCTCTGAAAGTTTACAGACCTAAGTAGATTGCAGATTGAATGCCTGATTCTTGCCAGTGTAGATGAACAAGTGTTTCTAAATTGTTAGAGATGATAATATTTTAAAGTAAATGGTTATTAATTTCTAAATTGCAGTAGAACTCCATCAAGAGACCATATTTCAGTTAAATGATGATATCAAAGGAAAGGACAATGCTAGAACTTGTTACTGTATGTGCTAAAAATAGTCAGTTGTGATTTATCTAAGTATACAGATCTATCTCCCCATGGAGGATTCCTTTTAATTTCGGGTGTTTAAATTCCAATTTTTCTTAAAAATACTTCTTAAGAAATATTCTTGATGGACAACCTAATATGTAATGTGATGACTGAACCCACCAGCTTTGTGACTGATCCGTCCTTACCCAAGCATGCAAACAAGTTCTGATTCAGATATCTATGGGAGGTGGGAGTTCAGCAGCACTTCCCTACGAATTGCCAAAAAGGGTACCACGTAATTTTTATTTTACTTAGGTAATGATAATTTACTCTGTCACCCCCATCTCCCCAAAGGGAACAAATGAAATTAAGCAGCATAATTCTCAAGACTCTCATAGCCCAGCAAGGAAATCTAAAAGCTGTGTTGGAAAGATTAAAAAAAAAAACAAAAAAAAACGCAAACCAACCAAACAAAAAAAACCTAAACAAAAGATCCTGTATTATTGCTTGATAGCAGTGTGCAGCCAGCTGAGTCTTGATGATTCTTACCTTTCAGATGGCTTGGTTGACTGCCTAGACCCAGACTGCTGCCTCCAGTCTACTTGTCAAAATAGCCTGCTGTGCCGGGGCTCACGTGATCCTCTTGACATCATACAACAGAGCCATTCTGGTTCACCAGCTGTGAAGTCATTCTATGATCGAATCAAGCTCTTAGTGGGGAAGGACAGCACTCATATCATCCCAGGAGAAAATCCCTTCAACAGCAGGTAGCAGCTATAAATATGATGCTGTATCTGTGCAGTTGCATTGTGTGGGAAAATTTCTCCCAGAGTTTTTATTCATGTTTTAACATGAGATGCTTCTCTCAGGTGCTTCATGTGTTTGCATCTCAGGCATCGTTCCCACTGAGGGCACTCTGTTGCAATTTATGATGTGGTCTTTATTTTATAACACTGAGTTTTATTAGCATTTGAACATATTGGCAACACCTAGAAGAAGGTTCCTTCCACTGAGTAGGAGCTTCTGAGGTTTACATTCTATGAAGACTGCAGTCTAGAACAAGGGAAAATGCAAACTGGTTTCCAGTTAGAAAGAGATTGAGTTTTATTTAGTGCCGTTAACACAAGTTTCAATTATGGAATAATATTTCAAATTATTTTAAAGATACATTAGTTTTTCTTATATATTCCTTATATAAAACTGTTATACTTGCTGTTTGACTTGCATCGTCAATACATCTGACTAGGTTTTAGTTTTCTTCTTGGTTTTCTTTTTCTATGTCTGTTCTTCCTATGATTATTAATTATATATTTATAATGAATCTAAAAGCCAGCACATCATTAATTGATGTTTGATGCCATTGTATGCTTGCAAGAAAAGTGGTGTTCCTATTTATCAATATTATTTAAATATGTCTCCATGGAAAGATGCTAAGAAATTGATGAATATGATAATTATGGTCATATTGCAAAGTTAAAACTGAAGAAAGAACTTCATTTGAGATAATGCCCAAAAGATTGGACTTCATTACAGGAAACTGTTTTTCGTCAGGATTTCATTACAGGCTTACTGGGTGATGTAGAGCAAGTCACTAAATATTTGTCTGTAAAATGAGGATCATAATGTTTCTGGATGCATCAGGCAAGTCCCCATTGTATTTATCTCTGTGATGCCCAAATAGCACAATGATTTCCATATTCTATCAGAAAAGCCCTGTTGGATCCTACTGTATATAATAGAGACTTTATTCTGTTCTATAAAACACTGTATGTGTACACACATGGAGTTGTTTGGAAAAATGGAAGAAAATTGTTGTTTTCATCTAAATTTGATGTGATTTGTTTTCCTCATCAGCTCTGTAACAACAAAATGGGGGAATTCTTACAATTTTCTGCAATGTTGCATGAAAAGCAAAACAAGGCAAGAGAGAGGCTTATTAATTGAGGCTGAATGATTTGAGGCTGAATTAAATGAGGCTGAATTGAGGCTGAATTAAATGAGGCTGAATAATTTGTCCAAAAAGGAATACAGGCTACAGCATAAAAAGCACGTAGTCCACAAGCTGGTTGGTACATGCCACCCTATATATGTTATGGTCAGCAAAATTTCCTTGAGTGAGGAGGAGCCGGCCATCCAAGAAATATTAGAAATTATGTTAGAAATGATCAAGCTGTTTATATATGGATATGGGTTGGAGTCTTCGAAACAGTCTAAGAATTAGAGCTCTAGACTAAGCGGGAGCTGGGCACTTCAATCCTGAGGTTCCTTTGAAAAAAATCTCATTTGAAATTTTAGATTTTTTTTTTTTTTTAAAATATGTTTTTTAGGGTTCCTAGTGGCAGGAGTCTTAGTTCTGTTTTATTCATCTGAAGTACGTTGCATATTTTAACATATCTTTGCAAATGGCATATTAATGACATTTTAAAATTGGCCTTAGCCTCTAAGTTGTGAAGGTGCTTTTGAGAATTCTACAGCTCAGCTGTTATTTTTGGTACCAATTTTAGGCAAATTTAATGTATACTGTCAAATTGAAAGTTTTTATAAGTCAAAAACCTCAGTTTTAAAAGTGCCACAGGGTTAGGCTCCAAGTTTCACGTGTACTGAAGCTGCTGTATTCCTAATAATTAGCTACCATGAAAGATAATGGCCTCTCTCTTCTTTTAGCTCAGCCTCTCATTCTGCTGAAAGAGATGAAAACACAGGATGAAATAGTGGTTATGAATTTTTTTCCAGTACTAGTATAAAAAAAAGAAGTTAATTCCTACACTGCTAAAGCAATAAATAACAAAATGTATTGATTGCAAAATTATTTCGATCTTGCTGATTGTTTCTGTGCAGAAACAAGATGAAATGAAGTTTTCAGGAAAAAGAAATAGCTGCGTTGTTTTACGCATTTAAATTCCACATTTATAAAAAAAAGGACTTAATGCACCAGCTTAATTTGTCAGTTACGCTTTTAAAAAATTACCAAACAAAAGGTTGTCCTGTGTGGGACTATCAGTCAACATATTACTTCTTATAAATTCAGATTTTAGCTACAAATTTTAATATCCATTGTGTTCCATATTTTGGCATTTTAGAAATAGAAAGTAAGATTATTGGCCGAAATATTCTTATTCAAATTATTTCCTGAAATAATAAAATTGAAGGTAGAAAAAAAATAAGTCATTAAAATTATGAGTTCTCTTCTGCCATATGTTGATTTCTTTCTAAATCTGCTTTCTGCACTGTTCCCCTATAGAAGCCTGAGTGACTGTCTTCCTACAACTATTTCTGTGTGTTTGTAACATAAAATAATTCAAGCAAAATGAATAATGCCAAGACAATTTTCTTGGCCCAATGTATTCCCAAGCAGATTTTTCTCAACAGGTATCGATTTCTATTAAATTCCATGTTCTGCTACAAAATGTTGATTTTGGAAATTAAAATTTGACCTGGAGGGCCAAGAAATGGTTGGAAGTTCTAAAAGAGAAGTAACAGAAACGGCTCATTTTCATTAATTAGTTTCTTTTTTTATGTAATATTAAAGAAAATATTACACCTTGTTTGGAATAAAAATAGGAGGAAGCAGTTATTCAATGGCCAATATAACACAGGCAGAAATTTCTGTCACAGCACCTTGAACGTTTCAGAGTTAACAGAGAAGACCTGAAAACAACCCTGGTATTACTATTGAAAGCTGGTGTTCTCTGATACGTGCATCACTTCAGAAATGCAAGCATAGGGGATAACGCAAGCGCTACAGCCGCCCCAGAATTCACCCGCATTTTGTCAGTTTTAGGCAAAACCCAGCTCACTTTAATCCCCTTGTCCTGGAGCTGGACTGAGTCCAGAAAGCCGTGGTGCCAGGAGGCAGTGCCTGGAGCCTGCTATGGTCCAGGGGCAGCTCCAGCCCTGCCAGCGCAGTCAGTTCAGAAGCGGGGCTTTTCGCTTTCTGGCTCACTCCATGGCTGCAGATGAGGGTTGCTGGATCATGCAGGAGGCACAGAGTGCTGCAATAGAAAGCGTTTCACCCAGGGCTGCAGCAAAGGACTGTTTTGCTGTCCCTGAGATTATTGGTTGCAGCGGGGTTTAGCTTTCTCCCTGTTTCCCAGAACCACCTTCTCCTTTTTTCACGTTTCCAATGTAGAACTGGAAACCATCTGCAAGGTGCTTCTCCTTTTCCATCTCCCTTTTACCACGCAGCTTCCCCCACTCACCAATCTGCTGCTATTGAGGTGCAGGGAGGGTGGAAGAGAAAGGAGCCAGGGGACGGAGACTCCTCTCCAGCTGGGAGAGGAGAGGGGGAGGAACAGACGGGCCGTGCCGGAGAGCGGCAGAGCAGAGAGATGTGGGGCTTGCTCCTTCAGTGCTGAGGAAGCTGAGAACGCAGCCGGGCAGGCAGAGGCAATTTCTGCCCGCTGTGCACTTAGCAGCAGCAAAGCACGCTCAAAAGAAAAGAAGACTGACTGTGGTTCTTACAAGAATAACCCATCTTCATCTCCTTTAGGTTAAGCAAAATTGCTTAACCTGTTGGCTAAGAAAACTCTTTATTTTGCCTGGCATAAAGCTGGCCTTAAAGCCAAACCTTTATTCCTGTTGACAACGTGAAAAGCAAGGGTTACAAATCAGGACCAAATGCAGTGTACAAACATCGGTGACTCCCTAAGATGAAGGAACATGAACCTTAATTTGGGCAATCAGTTGTGTAGAAAAAGAGGTATGGCATTACACCGTGTTTTTCAAGCATATTAGGCATCTGCAGACACGCTACCGTGTGCAGGAAGGTTTTTGAGAAGTGCCCAATCATCATTTCAGTGGGACTTCAGGGTCGCAGTTCTGGCTTGGCTAAATGTGCAATAGCTTCCTACTCTGCAAAGCCTCATTAGGCAATGAGACAAAGCCTCATTAGACAAGGCAGGCACTAAGTCCTATTCTGTATACATTGACCTCACTGCATAGATAAGCAGTTTCTTGATTTAAGTATATAGAGGGAGCCGTGCAATACTGTGGTATCTTTGGTATTCTAAAAATGTTTGGAGTAAATTGGATTTAGAGTAAATGAGGCACAAGTGTTCCACTACTCAGTTTATAAACAATGTAACTTTGCTTTTGTAACTACCTTTAATTATCTTTCTTTTTCAGTCTTGTGTCTCTTATAAGAGGCCAAGTGGTGACTACAGATGGAACTCCTCTAGTTGGAGTCAACGTGTCATTTGTCAAGTATCCAAAGTACGGCTATACCATCACTCGTCAGGATGGCACGTGAGTTTGCTTGCTTCATTGAGTACCTATCTTGTATGTAGTATCTTTGCTTATTAACAGATGGTGTGATCTAATGGAACCATGTGGTATCATGCATTGCATTCCTCCCAGGGCAAAGAGCTATTAAGTAAACACAAAAGTAATTTTTCACGTGGCATTTTGAATGCTAACTGCAAGTAAATATGAAAAGGCTGACTTCTGATAATAATTTGTTAGCAGGCAGACTCCTTTCAAATAAATTGCTCTGTATCTATGAAAACATTTGTGGAGTATAGCAATATCCAGCTGAGACCAGAAATATTTTATTTTAAAATGCAAGGCAGGCTAACACTGCTAGGAAAAAAAGTAGTATCATTATAGAGTAGTATATTTTGTTAAAAGTTCCCTTCTGCCTCTCTTTCCTTTTGAAGATGCACTATCTTTTGAGTTTCTTCGGGGTAGAATGTAATCAAAAGATTCTAATTGAATATATTTAGACAATTTCCTGCTGTGCAAAAAAGTGCTTTTCCCCCCCTGTATCAGCTGATTTGAAATGCACACAAGTTCAGATAAACAAAAATCAATGTGTCATGGTTTATCTACTTTACTGGCTGTGGTAACTAAAACAGTGTTTCTGTGACACATGCACTGTAAACACTTGCCATTTTATCCTGATCTTGCATGCAAACAATTGAATTGAAATAATTAATTTGAGTCAACTGAACTATAGGGAGTATTACATTTCCACATTTCCCAGAATATTATTCTGTTAGAATAAAAGTATAATGTTGATTTCAGTGGTTTAATACTACAGTAAATGGTGGGCCGGACAGTGTTAGATCTGAATAGATTATTGAAATCATTGAGTAATTTATGTTGCCAGCATTGACATGAAACAACTGGTATCTACTTCTAGAAGTACTTTACTCATTTAGGCCAGATTTAAAAATGCTTGTGCAGCTCCACATTACTGCTATGACTTTGCAGGGGGTTGGGAGTAAATATGTAATCTCTCTGAAAACAGGTAGATCAATTGCCCTGGGGACAGCAATTATTGTCTTATTTATAGAACACAAACAGCAAAACTTTTCATGACTATTCTCTTACTGCCATGTGTCCCATTCTGTTCTTGGTGGACAGCATCTTTTAGAAAAGGGATAATTCAGTGTGCAGCTCAGTACGAACTTGGCTTCTCTGCTGATTTTATATACAAAGGTGACTTGTAATATTAACATGGTGTTCGGTTTTGGGGTATTGTTTAATTATTTAATGCAGATTTTATAACGGAACAAGGTTTGTCTGTGTGACTTCAAATCATTGCTTGTCTTGGCTGGTTTTCAGTTGTTTAGTAGCCAAGGTTCACATCCCATCACTGATCATTTGAAGCATGACGCTTAAAATATACCTGTTGCTATAAGTATACCTATATACCTACTTCACTAGCCAAGAATGCTATTACTGGAATTATTCAGTCTTGTCACTTCTAAAGCCCACATTTTTCTAGATTTGACTTGGTTGCAAATGGCGGAGCATCCCTAACCTTGCACTTTGAACGGGCCCCATTTATGAGTCAGGAAAGGACAGTATGGTTGCCGTGGAATAGCTTCTATGCCATGGACACACTTGCGATGAAGACAGAGGAGAACTCCATTCCCAGCTGTGATCTAAGTGGTTTTGTCCGTCCTGATCCAGTCATCATTTCATCACCACTTTCAACTTTCTTCAGTGATGCTCCTGGCCGGAATCCCATTGTACCAGAAACCCAGGTAAGAACAGTATGAGTGAAAAGCGTATAGAAATTAGTGGTCAGGTGCTAGTGCGGACCTGAGCACTTACCACAGAGTCACCATTTGGCCCCTGGAACTGGTGTAGCAATGCCTCTGTAGAGCTGCATTCATTCTGTCACATACCAGGTTTTCTAATGCGCTCTGCAGGAGATATCATAGGCTCATGTCACCCAGACGCATTTATCTTTGACTACCTTGCACCTTCTCATTATCATACAATATATTAAGTATATCTCTGTAAGTTGACAGCTTAGGTGTTTCGAGAGAGTTTTGCAAAGGCTTGGTGTGTGATGCTAACCGCAGGCTGCTTTCTTGTATATTATTCAGGACAAAGGAAAACTCTACTGGTACTATGGTTTCACTACTTTATTCAGTTAGTCTTTACTTTGTACTAACTGTTAGTGGAAGTTGCGGGTTCCTGTGACTGTATTTCTTATGCTCCCCTTGCATATAACTTGTAGTAAAACTACTTGTACTTATTTGTGCTTTTGCCAGCAGTGGGCTTTTAAGAAGGCGGGTGCACAAATGCCAAATAATTATTTGCTCAGAAATGTCACCTGAACTGCTTCACTGCACTGAGTTGAGGATAACCATTCCCAGTAGCAGAAAGTCATAAGTTCATAACAATATGCAAGGCGATATTATTAAAAAAAAAAAAAACCGACAAAAAAACCAAAAAGCCAGAGCACTAATGTAAAATGTTTGATCTTTTTCCTATTCAGGTTCTTCATGAAGAAATTGAGATCCCTGGTTCTAGCATAAAGCTGAGCTACCTGAGTTCCCGTACTGCTGGATACAAATCCTTGCTTAAGATTGCCATGACTCAGTCACTTGTGCCACTGAATCTAATCAAAGTTCATTTGATGGTAGCAGTAGAAGGGCATCTGTTTCAAAAATCATTTCAGGCATCTCCCAACTTGGCATATACATTTATCTGGGACAAAACAGATGCATATGGTCAGAAGGTTTATGGGTTGTCGGATGCTGTAGGTAAGTCAGCATATATGAGCTCCAAAACTTTTCCAAATAACACCTGTAATTCTTAGTAAGAAAACTGCAAAGATTTCTTATGGAGAAGCAAATATAGACTAAACAGTTCTTGTCCTCCTGACACAATTTATCTTTGTATTATGTTTCTTTTACACATTAAAGATCACATTCAGAGGGTCTAAACTCCATCAACATGCCTGTGTTTCCTGATCGGTAGCTGACTTAGAAGGTTTAGACCAGACAATGGGAAAAACTGGCCACAGGAACTTAGGTGAAATCTAGTCCATCACTGTGTTTTTATTTTCTTTCAGTTAACAAATGAACATCATGCTGGACTGGCTGGCATTCTTCAGTGTATTTGGATTTTCATGCATGCTGTTATTATAGCCTCTTGTGGTATAATACATTTGAAATGAAAATGGTGCTTTTCTAATGCTCTTCAGTCTTGTAGTTCTATAGCTCTTTTTAGTTCGCCTGGTTCTAGTGGGTGGGGAAAAGAGTGATCATCATAATATTTTTAAGTTCTCATTTTCATTTGAATATCAGGACAATTTTGTTACAACAGTGCTAAAAATGGGCATCTGAGCTGTGCCAGTGTGGAAAGAAAAACTTACTTTTAAAATCTGATTTCTATATTTTCTAAAATCTTCTTTGCTATAGCTTTTCTTTCTTACATTATTGCATAAGGTATTGCTTTCCTGAGTAATCCTTATAGTGTGTGTGCTTAAAAGCACACAGAATTTTCACTGCTCCTTGATACATGGTATGTAAAATGAACACACTCAATAAATGCTGTGAACATCTGGCAAATTAAGAGTTGGATCTTGTCCTGTTATCTGACAGAATAATTTTATTATATTTTAAAAAATATATTTCTCACTGTCCTCTCACCAAACCAGTCACTTCCCAATGCCAGCTATTCAAAGAGAAGTGATCAGATCCCTGCAGAGTACATGTGAATGAAGTTTCAAATTTGTGTCTGGTCAAAGATCTGAATTTAATATTGTAGAATAAAAGAGAGGAATATAATAAAAGAGAGGAATATATTCACTCCGTCTTCTTGAGGGGGCTGGGGAACTGGAATGCTGAATCATTTGAATGTGCTCTGGACGTTTAATTCAGCATTTGTTCAGCAAGTATATTAGATTTTATTTATTTTATTTCAGTTTCTGTGGGGTTTGAGTATGAGACTTGCCCCAATCTCATTTTGTGGGAGAAGAGGACTGCACTGCTGCAAGGATTTGAACTAGATCCTTCAAATTTAGGAGGATGGTCTTTGGATAAACATCATGTACTTAATGTGAAGAGTGGTGAGTTAGTTAATTCCACGTGTTTTCTGTGCTATATGGAGTTTTGTCGGTGAACACTTTTTATGTGCATTATATTTACACTTTAAAAAAAATGCAATTTCTCCACTCTTTTTGTTTCATCTTTATCTCAGTAAGGTATGGGACATGTTCCAGTTATCAGAAAATTTTTGTAGAATTTCAACAGATATTTTACTGTTCTGCACAGCATGACTTTCTTAAAGTCCAAATCTTTATTCTCTATTCTGTTGTTCGTTTATTCCCGTGTAATGTCTTTCTCTCTGCTTTCCCTATTTTTCTGATCTTAACCACACCCGTTCCTGGTTCCTCTTGCTTGACTTTTTTCCCTCTGATCTGAGGTGGAGCTTAAAAGGAGTACGAGTCTGTGACGAGATACTGAGTCTCATTTTTCTGTTTCTTTTGTCGCCTGTTCGTTTTTTCCAGACTTCTCTTTGTCTTTACATATCCTAAGCTGAATGTTCCTGGTCTTCAGATTTTACGAGAGACACTTAGGGAGCTGAATGCTTAGCATATATTTCATTTGATCGCTGTAAAGTGTTTTCTACAGCTTCCCTGCTGGTGCCTGCATTAACAAATTGCAAACTATATTGTTGCTTAAGAAATCTAAAGTAGTGTTCAGAATAGGCAAGATCAGGCTATTTGAACACAATTTAAGTGCTGTGCAGCAGATCAAACACTGTTGAGATAGCCATCTGGATAGTGCGTGATATTCACTGTCGTCACCAGTGGGGAGCCCGTTACTTTACATTAAGATCATACAACTGCATTTCCAAAAGAACATGAGGCTAGAAGTTTCCAGCCAGATATCTACAATCTTTGATACACTGAAAATGGCCACTCTGTCAGAAAATCCACTCCCTTCTTGGAGCAGGGGTCTGCTCTTTGAACAAATATTTTGAAAAGAAATCCTATCTTAAAGGCATCTCTTGAAGACTAATAAAGATCCTTACCACTAGCTTCCCTCTTGCCCTTCATCACTGATCCTTAGCAGCCCTTCTAGGAGTTTCATCTTTCTCCTATCTTTTCATTTTCTGTGCTATCCTCTCCTGGCATCTCCATTTCTCATTTTTCTTTCTTTTTTATTTTTTTGGTGAAAGAAGTGTGAAAGACTGAGAGGTGGAAAGAGAACAGTAAGGTTGGCACAAAATTCCAAACAAAATGTAAGATAGGAAACTGGAGTGAAAGGATCCAGGGACACAAACAAGGCATGTGTCCTCTCCACTGTTTGCCTTCTCACTTCCCAGTAATGAGGCAGTCTAAACCAATGTGCCAGGCCAGAGGGATGTATGGCAGTGTTTTCTTTCATAAGGAATATGAAAGGACTCTGGGTTTGGGTTTGGATCTGTGCTGTATGGTCTTTAACAGAGAATCTTCATTACATCTTTATTTTTACTACAGCAAAGCTCTTTCGCTCTTTTTGCACCATTGAAGAACCAAGTGCTGGAGTCATTTAAGTGTACAGTCCTTAACAGCAGCTGTTGAAAAGAGAACTACCTGAAGTCCCCTGCAATGAATGATTGTAATAACCACTTCTCCTCTTCGTTATTAGGTATATTGCACAAAGGCAATGGAGAAAATCAGTTTCTAACTCAGCAGCCAGCTGTGATAACCAGCATTATGGGGAATGGGCGCCGAAGAAGCATATCCTGTCCTAGCTGCAATGGTCTGGCAGAAGGAAATAAGCTTTTGGCCCCTGTAGCACTGGCAGTGGGTATTGATGGAAGTCTCTTCGTTGGAGATTTTAACTATATTCGGCGTATCTTCCCATCCAGGAATGTTACTAGTATATTGGAGCTGAGGTAAGGTGTTAATCTTAGCACTTCATTTCTGTAGCCTGTGCTCAAATCAGCCTTTACCATTACTTTTTATAATTTTGTAAAACATTGTCACTTTCAATCTATTTAAATTCCAGTGGAGAAATGGGGCACAGAAATGCTTAGTTCAAAGTCTGTAGCTTATCAGAGCAATGCCTATAGAGAAGGACTAAAGAGTACAAACCAGCTTGTACAAAAAGTACAAACCACCTTCTTCTCTCCTGTTGGTGATCATTTGATACAATCTCCGCTCAGTAGTGTACGTCATTTAGTTTTGTTTGAAAACTACAGAATTGACTGCCATTAGGTATTGAGCCACAGTGATAAGCAAAGCTATAACAGTCTTAGGAAGTCAGAAAGGAAGGTTTTCCTACCAGTGGTTTTGAGAGCCACATTCCCACTTCTTTTCCATACTCATAAGTCTGTTTCTGTAGGTTGGCAAGTGCAGTTAAGATCGACATACAGAATCACTTTGCACCATCAGAACTCTTTAAGATTGTACCTCTGTCCCCTCCGCCCCCCAACATTAAGATTTGGACACTTAATAGGGAAGGCATCAGTGTAGAGTGTACCACTTCACCCATTTCTGTTCCATCTCCTTTTCTCATTCTTCTATGAGAGGCAAGAGCGATTGCTTCAAACCGCAACTCATGTAACTGGACCTTATCGTTACAGCACTGTTGAGTATTTGCAGAAAAATGAGGGAAAATAGCTTGCATTGGCTGTCTTCTGATGCTTCTGAAGCCCATTCAGGCAATAGGATTAGTGCTCTTGTAAATTGGATATAGCTGCAAAGTACCTTGAGTGAATTTAGGTCATTAGCCTTTTTTTTAATGATATGGCCAATAACCAATTCCTCTGCTTCCAGCATACTTTTAATTTTTACTTAGTGGGGAAAAATGACTGGACTGTTAGAGAATAGGAGGCCTAGTTCTATTTTACACCTCTCTTCCATTCATGTCATCCTGTTGATGTCACTGTTGTGAATTCTGATTTATATAAGAGAAAAGAGATCCAATTCAGGCCAATTCTACTCTGAAATCACCTTCTGACACCTACCTCATACACCATCAGGCTGCCTCATTATATCAAAAAAACAAAAAAAGTCTAGATCATCCAGTGCTTTCTGCTAGCAGCTCAGTATAAGCCACAGAAGTTAGCTGGTATGGATGTGTGACCTGCTATAAATATTTATATCAATATACGCTATAACTCTGCATTATATAGAATATGCTCCTTTTTTTTATTTTTAATTTGTTCAGTTCTGTTTAGCTTTCTAGTAAATAGGACTACAGCTTTATAGGTGAAGAGAAACGTTTTCAAATTAGGATACTTAATATAAAGTACCTCACTTCCTAATATCAGCCAGTGACGAAGTTTCCTAGCACACCTGATTTTTGAAAATGTTTTCTCCAAGTTTACAGTGGTATTAGTCTGAGTACGTTGCTTTCTCTCTATGCAAGAGAGAACTTGGGCTTTTCAGCACGTGTGAGGGAAAATGGGAAAGGACATCAATAAAGAAACAGAAGATGGACGACTTAATCTTTTGTCCACTTTCCTTTTATGAAAGTCTGGTTTCCATAGTGTAATCTCTTTAACTTCTGTTATAACTATTAGCAATGAACAATAAGGCTATTGTATTTTGAGTGCTGTTGGACAGCTGCAAATGACTTGACACATAGATTTTTAGGATTTGCAGCGATGTCTTTTGGCCCCTGTTCCTCTAAAGGGAATTAAGATCCATTCCAGCAAACACCATCTATAGCAGTAATTGTGATTCAGTGGTCATCTTAAATTCTGTATGAGTTATACGGGTAAGAGTTTGAAGATTTGAGCCATTTAAGCATGATCGAGAGCAGAGTCTTCAGCTAGTGTCAAGTAGCTTGAATAACATTGCAAATAATATGTCCATAAGTACTGCAAACCAAATACATCGCTTTATTTAGATTTCACAACAGATACAATTTTGGCTTTACCTAAGTCGATATAAATCTCAAATAACTAAGTCAGAATATCCCAGTGTGCATATTTGCTTCACACTGTCCTTTGTGAAGGTGCCTGATCTGGGTGGCTAATAGGAACTTTAACTCAAGAGCGTTGCATGTTACCCTTAACGTTGGTATTACAAGTTTGGGGCTGTGCATGGAATGCTGCAGCTCAGCGGTCATGCACCTCTTTGTTTCGTTCCCTCGGTATTCCTAAATGGAAATGACATAAACACAGTGAAACACTGTGGTGGGGAGAATGTATTAATTTACTTCTGGGAAGTAAAGAACACTTTTCCTTTGACTCTGTGTCTAGACAGTAAACTAGGGACCAAATCATGCTATATATCTCCCATTGTACAGTATCTTACTGGTCACTTACAAGGGATTTTTTTACCCTAAGATTTCCTTTGATGGGCTTAAATAGGTACCAAGTAGCATCCAAACTTGCTTTAAGCAATTATGTTAGAGACTGGCGGAAGAGAAAAATAAACGATGTAGTAGAAATTTGTTTAGCAATAGCCTGTTGGAAAACTATTTTGATTAAAGAGGTTGCCTCCAGCTGGCAGACAATATCCTAAGCTCAGTGCTTCCCCCTTTCCATTTCTGTATTCAGAAAACTGCCAGTTTCTCTTGCTCTTAGCCCACAAGCTACACCTATTTCAATGTGAAAACCTTTCAATGGTCCAGAAAGTTTCCTGTAAAATATATGGTGGGTGGGGGCTGGGGCGGGGGTATCCTACTAGGGAACTAGCGTGCAACTCTCGCTCCCAGTCGCTCTTCATCCGTAAACCGAGCTAAGGCTAGTGCTGAAAAGAGATATCTTCTCCTGTGTCCTTTTGTAAAATAAAACAAATACTATGTTTGCTTTACCATCTATTCTTCAGCTAACTGTTTGTTCTTTTTTCTTCTGTTCCCTTTCTATAAAGAAATAAAGAGTTTAAACATAGGTAAGACACGAGCTCTTTCCCATATAATTTGATATGGTTTGTTTGCTTCATTGTGTTTGCTTTTTGTGTTGTGCTTCTTGTGTAATGTTATGTTCTTCATGTACCATATATAGAAACATTTTTATGTGCTAATTGTGTGTTATGAATATGATAAGCGTTAGCAATTATGAAATGCAGTCAAAAAAGCAACCAAATAAGTTCTGACAGTAATTAGAAATTTCTAGTAGAATGCAAGTATAATGAACCCCAGGCTAACTTCTATATAAACACTTCTCCCTGCTGTCTATAATTGGTCTAAATGGTTGAGGTAAACTACAACAGCAGTTTTACAAATGCCAGAAAGGTTCACAAAAACACTAATGACTGCAAATAGGTCAAAAACTCATTTTCCGGTCATTAATGATTTTCTGAACCCTCTGTCCTTTTTCATAATTTAGTTTCTATTTTCTTTCATCGAATACATTTAACAGTCAGTCAACGTGTGGGGCTGGTTGTATCCAAACACTAGATGCAGTCACCGTAAGACTCATGAAGGAGGCGTAACCTTTCCGGTTGTTAGGAGGAGAGATTTTTCGTTGTCTCACCTGAGCACTAGGCCTTCTGGATGGCAGCAGCATAGGAAATGCTTGTACCTTCTTCCATGCCACACCTGGGATGGGGTGGGACATTTACCCTGGAGAATATCAAGGGCAAGAAGAAGAAGAGCTCTTCTAAACTATTCCATAGTGTCCTGTGCATCACCCTTTTAAAATCATGCTTTCCATTTCTATAATACAAGTTAGATGCAAAAGATGTCTGGACTAAACAGTATCATTTCCCCTTTACAATACATTTTGGTATAGCAAGTGTAACTCCACTGAATTTTCTTATCTGGATGAATTAATTCACAATTTGCTAATGATTATTGGTGATGCTGGAGGCTCTTCATTTGGAACTATAAACTTAGTTAATTTTGAGGTGCTAAGAGGTTTGCTCTGGGCAGCTTCTCTTTTTGGTTAAATTTAAAGAAAAGCTGTTGTTGCACTGTTGTGAATTTGATGCATGTAGGAGAAGAACAGGGAGGACAAGCTGATCCAGCCTGTACTTGCCTTCGGGCACCAGGCTCCCTCACAGACCAGAGTTCAGCTGCATGTGGTGGTGACTGCTGCAGCCTCTGGGGAGGGCTAGAGGAGAAGTAATGCTGCCTTGGCAGAGGCCTCTGAACCATACCAAATGTTATGGAAAAATCTTTTAAAATAAGGTACATTCCATGGCTTTCTATAACTTGAATAAAAGATTACAATGGCACGGAGAAAAGAGAGGCAGAGGTCTTTAATTGCTTAGATGCCAGTTTGAGAAATATTTTATATATGAGTACTAAATACATCCCCGTTTGAGGTAATAACCTCGTAGTTTCTTCGGGGACATGGTGAGTGCTTGTCACATTCCACAAGTCATTTTCTGCCAAAGTCCCTAAAATATTTTACGTGGAGAGTCTTCCACTCTCTATTCCCTTCCCGAGCTCAGGAAGGAGCAAAGGGGTATACAGCAGGTCTGCAGCTCCAGTGAGCTCCTGATCTGGAACAAACGCTCATGACCGACTCCCTGGCAAAACTGCCCTGAGGGAGATGCCAGAGGAGGAAGGCAGGGTGAGCTCCATGGATGCACCAGTGACTGCAGGAGAGGAGAGGGAACTTAGCCCATGTTCTGCCATTGCTCTCTACCCTGACCCATATCTTACCCCATCCTGGTAACAGCAGGACATACCCAAGGCTAGCTGTGAGCAGCAGGGAAGCAGGGGTGTGCTCACTCAGGAAGGCAGGGAGAGGCTGGCAAAATCTCATCCAGAAAGAAGAGAGACCCTTTCCAGTCTCACCAAGTGGCTGCTGCTCCGTGTCAAGCAGCAGAGCAGCTCCCCCAGGCGCTGTTGTGAGCAGCTTCCATCGTTGAGACGAAGCCAGGCCCCTGCCCCCAGTAGCAAGCCACCATGTCTGTGCCCAGCTCCAGTTTGTAGGTGCCTCAGGTCTCCTCGGTCGGCAGAGGTGGGGGTGCCACATGTTTTAGAAGGGACAGGCAAAAGGTGCTCTGGGCTGGAGCCCAGCAGGGAGGCAGCAGCAAGCCTGCAGCAGCAGCATTCAGTTGTTGGCTTGCCTGCTGCTGTCGCAAAGCCTTGAGCTAAGGCTGGGTGTATTTGAAGTATGGCACAAGACCAGTGTCACAGCAGTTTCTTCTTCAGTGTTAAGGGAAAAGTGTGGTGGGGTGGAAGAAGAGAGCGCAATTTCAAACCAGTGACAAATGTGCAGGTGTGTGTTTGGCTCAGATACTCGAGAGACTGCAGAAATCTTGTAAATGGAAAGCAATAATTTTATATCTGGCAAAGAAGATGGAGCTTTGTTTTGGAGGGATGAGAAGGAATGTGGTAAGGGTCTCGTGAAGAGGTGCAGTCTGCTGCTGAAGATAAGGAGAGGAACTTCGGGAATAAAGAGATTGTGCTCTAATCTCAAGCATGTCACTAGTCTCCCTGCATAACTTTGTCTATACCACTTAACCTCTCTGTGCCTCAGTTTCCTCCTCTGTAAAATGGGTATAACACCCATCTTTTTAAAGTACTTTGAGATCCATGCATGAAATAAACCTGCCAAGTATTTTTTGTTTACTGTATTTTTTTCATCTCTAATTTCTACACTCCTAGACTTCAGCAGATGGTATTACCTCTGCCTATCAAATTTTGATCAAACCAATCTCCTTCCTACTTTCTACAGTTTTAGAACAAATTGTTATTGACCTAAAATCATGACACATCAAAGACTGGCATAGAGGAAGATAACTGTAGAAAGGGATATTTTGGGGTCTCCTCATTCCTCCAAATCTGGTCATGACCACATGAATGCAGTTGTCTTTGTGCTGCTGATAATCCATCTGCCGAAAGTGGCCTTACTATAGTTTCAGCGAGTCTGATCAAGAAATGGTTTATGTCCATCATAACTTACCTCTGTGTATCCTCACTCTTGGAGATGGGCCCTTTTGCCACATGAAACTAGGAGTGTGGATATTTGGAGGCAAATGTCTCTGGTTACTGGTAAGTAACCTTCATTTTTTTTCTTCGTGTCTTCATTTGTCTTCTATGCTTTGAAACCACCATTGACCTTATTTACACTCACCCATAGGCTCCAAAGGCTGGAAAATTCACATCATGCTTAAAATCCAACTAAATTGCGTTAAACTAGCCAGGCAAGATTTTGAAAATATTTCTGCACTGCAGTTCTGTGTGTGTGAATGTATATATATATATATATACATATCTCGCAAAGACTGACATTTCTCAATTTGCAGATGATTTGCTAAAGTAGTTCCAAAATGTGACAAGCTGTCAAAAAACATATATTTCGGAAGAGAAGTAGCTTTCCATATGAGCACCCATTCTAATCACAAACTGAGGACCAGTTTTTCAATAACAGAAGGTTTGGAGTTAAAGTCAGACACTTGGGGTCTCTGGTTTTAGTTATATAACCAACTTCATCTGCCGTAAATGAGATTCTTGATAAGAATGAATGAGAACAAATTTGCTTTAGAAATAAATTTTTTATGCCCCTGCCTCCTATTTATACAAGACCTCACAATCTTGTGGCATAAGTAACTTAGAAGCTGATTCTTTGATCCTACTCCTGTGGCTTCTGCTTTCAAGGGAAGTTAAACAAGGAGGGGGAGAGGGGGGGCAACAGGTAGAGATAAGCCAAAGAGAATTGACCCGGAGCAGATCTAAAGGGCTGAAGAGATCAGGAGGAAAGTCTGCTGTGCAGCTTTGGCTTATTGGGCTCTGCTGTGCAAGGTTTGGTGTAGCAGAATGAATGAGATTTAAAAAGACAATCCTTCTGAAACACTGGCCAGGCCCTAATCAAGCTGGGTCCTCAGATGGTAGGCCTTCAGACCCCACCTCTGAATGAAGGTGTCAGACTTTCTTTCCAGATCTCCCTGTGCCTGATGAGTGTCTAAGCTCTGAAAGCCAGTGAAGTTTCTAGACTGCTCAGCTCTTTCTGTTTTATGCTTTCTTTTTCTCTAAAGCAACAATCCTGCTCATAAATACTATCTGGCCGTGGACCCTGTTTCAGGCTCACTGTACGTATCGGACACCAATAGTCGACGGATCTACAAAGTCAAGTCCCTCAGTGGCACGAAAGACCTAGCTGGTAACTCTGAAGTGGTAGCAGGGACTGGAGAGCAATGCCTGCCCTTTGACGAAGCCAGATGCGGGGATGGAGGGAAGGCAGTGGATGCAACCCTAATGAGCCCTCGAGGTAAAGTAGGAAAAGAAGCTGGAGAAAATGACTGCATGAGGCTAGGCTGGATGTGGAAATAATTATCTGGCAATTAAATCACTCCTCGCTCGGTAATTTTTATTCTGGGCTTTAATTACAGTGGATTGGCAAGTGTTCGTGCTTTGTTTAGTTAAAGCAAACTTTATTACCCCAACACTGAACACTGCAAAAGGAGAACAGAACACAAATTAGCAGGGTACTGCTCACTCCAAGAAGCAAGTGTGTAAACTGGGAAACAAATTACAGTTTGAGATATAGTCTTTGGGGAGAAAAACCGCCTGCTGTGGCTTTTTCTTGAATTTTTATTTTTTGTGTCTCCTTTTTCTTCAGAGGTGGAGAAAAAAAAGGATTTTTGCCCTTTCCAGTTTCTAATTTTTAACAAAAATTTTTCAAGATGATGTAGAGATTTGGGGATGTGTTTCTTTTTAAGACTTTTTTTTTCCCATCGTTTTATCTTGATTGCAAGCATGAATTAATCAGGTGTATGGCCAGGTGTTTCAAACACCTTTGGGATTTATTTCAATGGTTGAAAATAACTAGATAATCGTAAAAGCAAAGAAAAATGAAAGGTCCTGTTTCTTTGTATAGATAATAGTTTCAGTTAATATGTACAGAGTATATTAACAGGACAGAGCTGCTTGCATGTTTTAAGTTAAGCCTCTACATAGAAGTTAAGAAGATAAAGCTGTATCTTCTCTCACTGTCCAATAGGATGAGCGCTGCAACCATATGAAGACAAAATTTTTAGATCAATATTTTATTTTCAGCCCAAGAAACAGACGAGGCAGTGCGCCAAATCAAAGCAGGAAAGGCAAGTGAGAAAAAGCCTGCCCTCCTTCACAACAGGCAGCAGCATCCCTCTGTTCCTCCAAGGGAGCACCCTTTCATTCTGCGCCTTTCCTCTCTAAGGGCTCCCAATGTGACAGGCATTGAACCTTTTTTTCTGGGCTGGAAAGCCCTGTGTCTTCATCTGGAAACACCAGATATTCTTCCTGTATTCCTTACTAAACAGGCCAAAGAATTAAAAAACATCTGGAAAGAATATAATGTCCTCTTAATTTTTCAAAAATTTTAAAGCAATTTTAAAAAGATTGCTAAAAATTCTCCATCCTCATTAGATCCTTCAGATGAAGAAAGCAACACCTCAAGTTTCTGAGATTAAAATTTAGGAGATAATTTTTTTTTAATTGGGTTTATGTAGTATATCATACAGAGTTTGAATGTAGAAATAAGACGGGGATTTCCATGGTTTTCTTTCTTTAAAGCCCCAAAGGATAAACCTCCTTGATGCCATTTATTCAGCAGAACTACAGGTACTTGGAGGGTTCCAGGACCTGCGCTGAGCTTGGAAGGGAGGAAAGAACAAGGGAAGTGAACAAACACCACCGTCTTGTAAACCTGTTAATAAGATGAAGCCTGCCTTGAAGCTAGGAGCCTCACTGCTTCACTGATTGCTGGTTTTTGTATTTGCAGGAATTGCAGTGGATAAGTATGGACTCATGTATTTTGTTGATGCCACTATGATTAGAAAAGTGGATCAGAATGGAATTATATCAACCCTGCTGGGCTCCAATGACCTAACTGCTGTTCGACCTCTCAGCTGTGATTCCAGCATGGATGTCACCCAGGTAGACTCTTACTGCATTTATTTTTTTCTCTGCCTTAAAAGAGATGGGCATCTATTTTGGATGACTGCCTGGCCACTTAAGAAAACCATTATGCAGCACAAGATGATAGCATATTTGATTCATTACTGAAATGAGTGAACCATCCTTTTACTGTGGCTAACACAGGTTATTTATGCAACTATAGAGAAATAAGGTTCAGATAATGGGAGTTATTGTCTTAATTGCCTGTTTTTCTGTAATTATTGTAGAGCTTCCGCAATGTAGCATTCATTCTTTGCACAGAAACACAATTAGCCAAAGTTACCACTGCACGTAGCTTTAATATTTCCGGAAAACAAAATTGTTGTTTGAAATAGTTGCCGTTCATGACTTGGTTTCATGATTTACGCTGATAAACCCCTCACTAATTTGCTGTTGTTACACGTGGAATTTTAAACACTAGAAGTGTACTTTTCAGTTATGAGTTTTACAGTAATAATTTGTGCAACTCATAGGTACGGCTGGAGTGGCCTACTGATCTCGCTGTCAATCCCATGGACAACTCACTTTATGTCCTAGAGAACAATGTTATTTTACGGATCACAGAAAACCATCAAGTTAGCATTATTGCTGGACGCCCCATGCACTGCCAGGTTCCTGGTATAGACTACTCTCTTAGCAAACTGGCTATTCATTCTGCACTTGAATCAGCCAGTGCCATTGCCATCTCACACACAGGAGTTCTTTACATCAGTGAGACAGATGAAAAAAAAATTAATCGGCTACGCCAGGTAACTACCAATGGAGAAATATGCCTTCTTGCAGGGGCAGCTTCAGACTGTGATTGCAAAAATGATGTCAACTGTAATTGCTATTCTGGGGATGATGGGTATGCCACTGATGCCATCTTAAATTCACCATCTTCCTTAGCTGTGGCCCCAGATGGTACCATCTACATAGCTGATCTTGGAAATATCCGCATTAGGGCTGTCAGTAAAAACAGGCCCATTCTTAATTCCTTTAACCAATATGAAGCTGCATCTCCAGGAGAACAGGAGCTGTATGTCTTCAATGCTGATGGGATTCACCAGTACACTCTCAGCCTTGTTACCGGGGAGTACTTGTACAATTTCACCTATAGCAGCGATAACGATGTCACGGAGGTGATGGACAACAATGGCAACTCCTTGAAGGTCCGTCGGGATGCCAGTGGGATGCCCCGCCATTTACTGATGCCGGATAATCAGATTGTCACGCTGGCTGTTGGCACTAATGGTGGACTCAAGCTAGTCTCAACACAGACCCTGGAGCTCGGATTAATGACATATAACGGAAACAGTGGTCTCTTAGCAACGAAGAGTGATGAAACAGGATGGACAACATTTTATGAGTAAGAATGTTTTTGGATATATTAAGCGTACATTTATTTTTCAGATGGTAGTGAGTAGGCCCTAAACTGACCCTACTGAAATTTGTTGTAGGCTTTTCACTGATACTGAACAAGGCTGTTACGTCTCAGTCTAGTATGATACTGGAAATGATTAAGTGGCTTCTTGATTTCTTCAGTTTTGCTGGATCCTTTGGGTGGGCATCAAACCACCTTAATTCCTGCTTATGGTTTGAGGCCAGTGGGGAAGCTCACCCACCTCCAGCACCAAGGACTGTGTACCACATTCAGAAACCCGTGTTTGATTTACCAGATTGGGCCCCTGCTCATAGTCGTCAGCAAGGCTGCAGATAACTCGCATCCAGACCAGCCCCCAGCAATCTGTGGCTCCTACTGAGCTGCCTCTCTCTAGGAACCCGAATGCTGCCGTTGCTTTTGGAACTCAAATTACATATCTTTCTGTTCACACTCATAGATTACTCATGGTTGTTAAAATGTTGATTAACTTCACCGATTGTTCATTCTTGAGACAAGTGAGGAAATTAGAGCCCCAGCTATCTGTCAGACCCCTGGTGTAACTTCCATAATTTGCAGATAACCCAAAAGCACGCTGAGCATATAGATTAAAAAGACAGAACTTCCTCTTTAAATGAAATTTATCAGAGACAAAGCTCAAAAGTATATTAAAAATCTAGAAAAACTAGTCATATTTTTATTAACAGTTATCCTATTCTTAGTGGTCTTATTGCTATTTATTGATCAAAATAATTTTAAAATGGAAGCTAAATGCTGTATTGAATATAGATGTAAGTTTTAAGTATGGCAAGTCTGATGCCATATATTTTGTTTGAAATAATTAGTTAATGATTACTAAATACCATTTCTCAAATTAGTGGGTAGAAAGTATGAATAGGACTTTAATTTTAAACTGTAGGCTTATTTTTTAGGTTACAGACTAGCAATGACGCACGCCTATTTTAGTTTACTAATGCATTCATCTTGGCCACCGCTTGCTTTCTTTTTAGAGAAAACATAAGTAATGTAGGAATAAAAAGGACACTTCAATCTGCTCAGAATGTATCTAAATCAGCTTGCACATCAGTATTCTGTCCACTATGTGTTTTTTTTTCCGTAAAAAGGAAAGCAGTGCCCTCTCGTGGTCCCTTCTGATGTGGCCCTGGAAATGCAACCCCTGTGATTTTTCAGCTAGACTGTGGGTAGAGAGGTGGAGGTTTTTTCTGCTTAATATTTTGCAATGAATATTTCTCTACCACACATATAGTTAAAAAAATAATCCAGGTATGTGAACGCATGAAGGTATTACCTGCTGTTTACAAGATGGAGTAAAAGCTCACTGTACTAGAACGGTGGTAAAATCTCACGTTACTGCTGATGAGATGTAGATGCCCTTCTAGGCAGGTTTTTTGTTGTTTTTTTTTCCTCAATAGTTAGCCCAAGATTCAGGTCAGAAGTCATATAAACTAGTTATTTCTCAAAACACCAGTAATTAATTGTAGAAAATTAAATAGCAAAGTAATTTAAAACTCTACATGAAAATCAATGAAACATTAAGAAAGGTCATCAGAAAGTTACAAGTTACAAAATTGGTATAACCGGTGGCTGAGAATCACATGAAGTGCTAAGTTAGCATGGTTTATTAGAAAAATTGCACTACAATTCCTAAGTAAATATAGAAGGTAGGTGCTTTGATGTCTTACTGAGATGCATCTGAAAATATAATTTAATGTGTAAATAGCGCTGACATGTTGGCTAGATTTTTTTCCAAGATCAAATAAGAGAAGCTGCGCAACCCTTGCCTCAGGTCGGTGGAAGTTAAGCACCATATTTAGGTCTGAACAGTACAGCCTGAGGTACTGTCTTAGATGATTAGTAACTTTGATGAGGCAGCAGAAATTACGGAATTTCTCCTAGATTTGAACATACATTCTCATAAGCATAGAGCCCATAGATGAGAGAACGGTATAGACATTTTTGCATTGAAAATGCATATACTTTATGGCACATGTGTAAAATAATCTATACATGGTGACTGTTACCTAGGTTAGAAAAAAAGCCATAAAATGCCATTCACAAAGATGTTAAAAGAAGATACATATCTCTATATGTGCATGGAAAACCCTATGTGAGGACTAGAAGTTAGCTATATGCACTGGAGATACTCGTTACAAAATACCAGAAGAATAGAGGCATCTTCTTTAGGCTGATCCTAAGCAGCTGACTTACAGTAACTCCTTAATATGCTTTTTCCTTTCATGTACCCCCACAGTTGAGGGGTTTATGAATAAGATTATGAGTATTGTTTAAATCAAATTTCCAAACCTAAGCAATCACAGTCCACAGTCACTCGGTACTGGTTTCTGGTTTCTATTTGTTCTTTGAAGCAGCTCCAAGGGGAAAATTCTGTATTCATCGTTATGCAATTTATTTTGGTATCTATACATTAATATCAATTGAAGATGAAAGAAATACTTAGCCAATGAGAGTTTATAAGGACAACAAAATAGTTTTCTGTGCCATTACATTCATGCATTCATACAGAGGAAATCAATACCCCAAATTGTTAATATGGCAGCAGAACAGATGTCTTTTAAGTAGTAAAACACTACATGAACTAAAGTTCTTATGAAAAATTTATTTCTGTGCATTTATATCAATCAGACGTTGAAGTGCTGTGTTATCTTACTGGGTATATTCCTTTCTTTTATCTGAAACTATACCCTGAAAATGCTCACAGAATTAAATTTCTGCAGTATATCCAGGTATGCATGTGTATATGCAGAGAAACGCACAGACAAACTACATGTGTGTGTGTGTGTGTATACACAGTCCATATGTATATTCTATATATAGTGCCTGTGTATAAGCACACTGTTCATTTGCAGAAGGAACAGGCAAGGCTCTTAAATAATGTAACAGCTACTAGCAGGCATACGTGGGGTAATTTAAGCTTGGTTTGGGGCGTGAAGCACAGATCTTTGAAGCGGTCCTCAGTGGTATTCCACTTGGTCCTGGGAGCAGCCTAAGAGAATGCTGCAATTTTCTTCTTGAATCAGCTGTTTTTTTATAAGGGAGAGAAAATAGGGCTATATGGAAATGTATGTGGATCTGCACCTTGCCCTGCTCTATGTTAAGTCAAAAGCTGCGGTTACTCCTTTCTGCAGTACTGTGTGTGGCACTGTCCCAGCTACTCCCACCTACCAGCTGTCAAGCAGTACGTGTCCCAGACCTCAAAGACCAGAACGCTGGCAATAAAAATTGCATAGGGTATGGAGGTGCCATAATACTGGACATGGGAGAACAGCTTCCAGTGCGTTATCACAAGCCTGCTGAAGGGATGCACAGGTCAGATATTTGTAGCCATCGGAGAAGGTGCCAAGCAAGTGCCCAGCTGTGTCGCGTGGTTGAGCCGTAGCTGTGTTTGCTGGCCCAGCAGACGCGAGCTGTGGCTGGCGGGGACCGGCCCCCGCCAGAATGGGCCAACAG